CAACAGCAATGAAAAATCAATGCTAAAATGCAGTGAATTAGATCATGAACAAGTAATACTATATGATATAGGTTAATTCCTACACAATGATTCTGGTGCGAATACTACTCGAAAATGGATACACGCAGTGAATTTTTACCTTTCCTTGATCAAGCCCCAAGTTTCCAGGCCTGTAACTCTCTACGGGGCAGCAAGCCTCATCTTTCTCCCGGAGTGGCTGGTGGTTTCCAACTGCTGATCCTGGCAGTTGGTAGCCCAACCCGTAGCCACTATGCTACCAGGGCTCTTATTCTTATGCCCTAAAAAGGTGTGTGTGTGTGTGTGTGTGTGTGTGTGTGTGTGTGTGTGTGTAATCTAGTTATAAAAGCCTTACCTAAAAAACAAAAAAAAACAAACAAAAAAAAACAGCAAACAAAAATGCATACAGAAAAACTCACAAGGAACATTATTACATAATAAAACCTACTTCTCTGCCCTTGCTTGCTTATAGAGCAACCAAGGGTACATTCTTAGACCCCTTTCTCCACATGGGTTTGGGGGAGGTTTGCTTTGGGCTCTGTTTGTTTCTCTCCTGTTATGTTTCCAGGCTGTGAGCGCCCTTCTAAAGGAACAGCTACAATTCACACGGTTTCCTTTCACTAGCTGCACAGTGTGGAGCACCCATCACTTTCCTGCTAATGGACATCTGTGTGTCCCCAAGGATGAAGAATGCATGAGTGTGTGTGTGTTTGAATCCCCAATTCTCGTCCAGGCAAAGATGCCTCATTGCCCAATGTCCCCTACAAAGCAATCCCTCTGCCTGTATTTCAGAACTGGACAAAACTCAGATCATCACATACTTACAGTCTCCCCTGAAGATTTTTATCCATCTCCAGCAGATGTGGCAAATCCTTTTTCATACAGCGCCGGGATCGTCCTAAGGAATCTACATAGTCCACCCTGAAATGAGAGTGGGCAGATGTGAGGGGTCCGTGCACTGGGGCATGGTGAAGAATGAACACAGACGTCTTTCCTACCAAGAGCCCTCAACCTGCGCCATCACCACCACGAGCAGAGCTTGCTTTTGAAATTCAGTCGACAGACAATGAACTTACTGTGCCCGTTGTACACCGTGAGTTCCAGAAACTGTAGAAAATAATTCATCATACGTGGCTCCGATCTCAAAGACAGATCACCACAAACACCTTTGCTGCAATATCACAGGTCTTTCTTTAATATGGCCAGACAATTCAGAGCATTTTATCAGCATCTTTAATAAGCTTATTCCGCTTTACTCCAGATTCTTAACTTGCTGAAGTCCTTAGCCTTCCCAAATCTGACTTCTCATTTCTCCCACTAAATTATATCAAATTGCATATTTTTCATTATTAAGTGTGGGGGGCGGTCAGATGTGCAGGCATTCCCTCCCGAGGGCAATCAGTTGCCAGACTGCTGTCTCATCCCTCCACAGGGATGGGCCTGCTCCCTGCCTCTGGGGACAATGGACAGGCTCCTGTAGGCGGAATTTTCACCCTACTGATAATGGTTCCTATGAAGACCCACAGGCCACCCCCTAGACCACCCTCTCATTACTGTTACCTATAGTGTAACCCCTTCCTGTGATTAGTGGGCTGGCATGCCCCCAAAAGGTATATAGGCCATGAGTCAGCAATATAGAGCTCTCTGACTCCCCCCTGATCTCTCCTTGCTGGTCTCTCCCCTCTCCCTTGTTCCCTTGCCCTCCTTCCCTTCCCCTTCTCTCCAGGTGGACCACCAAGCTGGGCTGAGGTGAGCAATGCTACCATGTAATGTGTCTGACTGCATTATTGTAATATCTCTCATGCTCTCAATGATTTTACTATAATACTTATATATCTCAACTGTACAATTGTGCATTACTGAACCCAGAAGTAGTATCACTGAACCTGTGATTAGCGGTGGGGGCTGGCCCCCCACTCCTCCCATTGCCATTTTAATTTAATACTGCAATTAAGTCATAGAATTTTGAGGGCATTTTGTAACTAAGAGAAAATCAAGTTACACAGCCAATGCCATAGAAGCATATAACAGTGGCCGCTCTAGTGCTCATTTCAGACCTTTGCCCAATTAGACATCAAGGCAAAACAAAGCACTTCCCTTCACAACAGAAAATAAGGGCAGACTTCATGGAAAAGATTTGCATTATGATGCAATAGACTTTTGATTGTTTAAACCAGTGGTTCTCAACCTGTGGGTCAGGACTCCTTTAGGAGTCGAACCCTTTCAGAGGGATTGCCCAATTCATAACAGTAGCAACGTAACAGTGATGAAATAGAAAAGGAAATAATTTTATGGTTGGTGGGGTCACCACCACATGAGGAACTGTATGAAAGGGTCGTGGCATTAGGAAGGTTGAGAACCAGTGGTTGAAACCATGGTACGGAATCTCCGACAGCCTTTACCAGCGTGCTGACCATACTGTAGGTGGCCAATATGTCTGAGCCAAAGGGCCAATTCGAGCTCAGTCCCATGCCGGGGGCTTTTCTCTTGTTGGCAGCTTGATTCCAGTTAAACACACAGAGTTCAATTGTCTCAGTGTCTGAGAATCTACTACTACAGTCCAAAATTAAGCGCCAAGTGCAGAAAGAATCCTTTTTTGAAATGAATGGGGGAAGCAAACCATCTAGCCAGATGGTCTGCTTAATGATTGACAGTATTTTTGTGGAAAGCTTTCTCACCACCTGGATCTTAACTACCAACAGCATTTTACAAGCAGTTACAATTCTGAAGCGCAATTTAAAAACAAAACTCAGTCAGAAACTGCTTGCAGTGCGTCTTCCTTCACCATATGGAGGCATGCAGCACCTCCAATTGCCCCGCACACGACTCAGATCACTGACAAATTGCTTGAAATCATGCAGGCATTAATAAGCAAAATTAAAAAAAAAAACACTACACATTTGGAAGATGAGATTTCCGCTATGAAAAGTAATTATAGGCTATTCTGTTTGGGGAGCAGGCTTCCAAAACAGACAGATCACAACAAGACTGCAGTCAGCAATAGCGAGATGTAATCAACAACCACCCACTGAGCAACTCCAGGAAGTGTCTGAGGTGCTGCCAGTCCCACAGAGGGCTGGGCTCCTCCCACTGCTGAAGCACTCACCAACACTCTCCAGGAACCATCCAAGGTTTGCCTCACCTGCTTTCTGGTAACAAGGCAGGGTATGTGTCAGAAAGAAAAGGTCAGGCCCAAAGGAGTAGTGAGTGCATTAACTCACCAGGTACCAGGGTACCTTCATTGTAAGAATGGCTGTGTCTCCCTGAGCTATTCAGCTTTTGCACTTCGCCAGTTCTTCCCCTGGACCTCCCTGCCCTACAGGGAGGAGCAAGTCAGAGTCCCAGCAACCCTTTCTTTCTTTCCCGTTTTTTAAAGGACCTTTGCTTTCTTCGTGGATGGTGTTCTTGATGTCGGAAAAATGTGCCAGGGTTCTATCTTCTCACCATACTTAAATTCAATTTGCATACTGAGCAAATAATCAGAGAAGTTGGAAGTGTGGCATCGGGATTGGAGGAAGGCTTACTAATAACCTGCAACATGCAGATAACACAACCATGATTGCGGAAAGTGAGGATTTGAAGCACTTGCTGAAGATTAAGGATTACAATATAGACTACTCCTCAAATGTAAAGAAAACAAAAATCCCCACAACTGGGCCACCAGGTAACATCATTATAAGCAGAGAAAAGTGGTCAAGGAGTTCACCTTGCTGGGATCCACAATCAACGCTCATGGAAGCAGCAGTCAAGAGATCAAATGACATTCCATTGGCTAAATCTGCTGTGATGTTGAAAGCAAAGAGGTGACTCTGAGGACCAACGGCCCTGACTCACACCAGGGCATTTCAACTGCCACCAATGCATGTGAAAGTTGGACATTACACATAGAAGACCAAAGCAAAATTGGTGCATTTGAATTATGGTGCTGGCAAAGAATATTGGAACTGTCTGCCGAAAGAACCCACAAATCTGTGTTGGTGGAAGTAGAGCCAGAATGCTCCTTAGAGGCAAGGATGGGGAGACTTAGTCTCCAGTATTTGGATCTGTTGCCAGGAGAGACCAGTCCTTGAAGAAGGACATGCTTGGCAAAGTAGAGGGGCAGCGAAAAACAGGAAGGCCCAGATGGTCTGATACAGTCACTGCGACAATGGGCTCAAACATAGGAACGATTATGAGGGCGGCGCAGGACTGGGCAGGGTAAAGTTCAACTGTGCACAGGATCGCTACAAGTAGGAACAGCCTCGACAGCACCTAAGGGCAACAACCACCACCAGGGTACAGGTTAGGGAGACATCACCCAATCCCAAGGGTACTGGTGGAAGAGACTGTAAGGGGGTTTTGGGTTTCAGATAGCATGCAGTCACATACCTTGTCCCAGATGGCATCAGCTAGTCATACCACAAGGGTTAGAAGGTAGTTATTCTCAGACAGCTTATGACACCTGTCTTACCCCAGGAAGAGCTAAAGAGCTTGTCCCTGGAGTGCTTGGAAAATACCTGCTCTCCAGGTCAAAGGTCTAAGAATTCTACAGATAGTTCTGTGACATTCCCAACAAATATTCCCACAGAGACAGTTGAGCCTTGATGGGAAGATGGGCAGGCTCTCCCCTCGGGAGAGTGGCCAGGCAGGAGCGTTCCTAGGGAATCTGCACAGCATCGGATCTCGAGTCATTTTAAAGCATGTCGACCGACGTTCTCCATAACAGGGCTCCTCGACAATGCCTGACACCCAAAAAGACGCAAACAACAGCCTACTGCCATCAAGTTGGTTCTGACTCACAGTCACCTACACAGGGCTCCTAAGGCTTTAGGTCTTTATTGGCGCAGACAGCTTCTCTTCTTCGCAAGGGGCAGCTGGTGGGTTTGAACTAACGACCTTGCTGTTAGTCTTTAACTGTTTGCCTGCCAACCCCACCAAGGTTCCTTAGCAAAATCATAAATAGGGAAAAATCGTGATCGTGGAATGTTGAGTCTCATCTCTACTTACTGATACACTGGTCTCTCTGCAAGGGAAGGACTTGCTTGGTCTCTTCGATCATTCACCCACCCAGAGGTCACATTCTGGATTAACTTTCTAAGGACTAAGGTTTATTAAAGGCCTGCTTATATCCGCAGATAATATCCTGAGGGTTTTCTGAAGGGGATTTGAGGCTAATCAGCACTGGAGCTGGGCAGTATGATCAATTTTACAGAGGAGGAAACTGAGCCGGACACGTGAAAACCTGGTGCAGGCTACACGGTCACTCCGGCAGTAGAAAGGAGGTACAGCTGTCCCGTCCTGAGGTGCACATGCTTATGCCACACGGCCAGGCAGTGTCACAGTCAGAAGACTTCCGTACGGACGGTCAACGTCTTTTGACTGGAAGCAGAGCTCCTCCCCAAAACTATCCAGTCTAAAGGCCAGGGGAGGGCAGGAGCACGGGCCATGAAAGCCTTCAACAACTTGGGTGACCACACTGCTGAGCACATCTGTCAGGAGAGATGTAGAACAGTGGTGTGAGAATGGAATCTCTACTCGTCCTCGTGCCTGGGACATCGCAGGAACCTGGTCACCATTGGACTCACCCGAATCCAATCTTCTCGAAAGAGAAGAGATCACGCAACAACAGCTGCACGACCGCACCCTCAGAAATCGACAAGCGTGCACACACAAGCAACTGCTAGAGGCTCAAAGAGCTCATGGGGAATTCCGGGATCTTTTCATTTCATTTTCCCATGAACTTTTGAAGCTCCCTTGTGCAAGTTAATAAAATGTCACTGCGAAATATCACAAACCATTCTTCACTGGGGTCTTGGGGAGGAGGTATGTCTCTGTCAGAAAGGGTTTCTTCGTCATCCTCCCGTGCTTCCTCCTTCCTAGAACCACTATTTGCACCACATGCGTCTATTTCCCTGCGCTTGTCTATGATCTTCTGTGTGAAATCCACAAGGTACATGTCTTCCACTTCTTCATCTAGGGCATAAAAAAAATCAACGTTTAGTCTTGACCTTTAAAAGGCAAGCAGGTATGGTGTTAGCACAAAACCGTCTCACCCATCATCCCTGCTGTTCCACCACCGCAGACAGTTCACTGGACGGTACGCCCACCCCTCCTGGAACACTTACAAAGGCTCACAGCCGCCCAGCGCCCTTGACAGCGATGCTGTACCTACTGAAGTATCTGCCACCAAATGACCTTTAAACGTCTCCTCAAGTTTTCTGCTGCTTTCCCAACATGATCTGGGAGTGAGCGGTACTGCTCCAGAACACGGTTCTAAGACACCACAGAGACCCACCAGGGCCAGTGTGTGAAACAGAAGCAGCGCTGCAGCTCCCATCCCTGCATGATGACATTTAGGAAACCCCGTGCCCACCGGTAACACACCTCTTTAATCACTGGGCTGTGTTATCTCACCTGAACTCTGTGTCTGTGGTATGGGAAATGTTTTAAGGGCCGCCGTAACAGAAGTCATTTGAATTCTAATCAGTGAACCCCACTTGAGTTTTTCCCATAGTGCTGTCCTTGTAAGCTGTGTTCAACCTTACAACAGCTTCTGGGGAATTTTTTCTGAGCAGGAAACAAAATTTCACAGCTGCATCCTGTTCTCTTAAATCTGCCATCACAAAAAAGGAGGTTTGAGCTAAACTACTTTTACAAACAAATTCATTGTGACCAGAGAACTTACCCAGGTGACACTGCTGGGTGCACTGACTCAGCAAGGATCTCGATGCCTAGTGGGAAAAGTGGGTACTACGAAAGCTCTGCCAGGGGAGGTTTTTTCCAGTATTTTGGAGGTTCCCCCTCGTATAGCCATAGCACAGTGACACAAGCATAATTACTCCTCGTTGTCCTTCTTAAGAAACAGAGAATGGCTGTAATCGTGTATGACTGTGCCCCATTTAAACTTTACTTCCCAACTCTGCTTTGCTCAGTGTCACTCCACCTGGTAACACCTGTCTCCAGGGCAGAGGCTGCACCTCGTGGCACCTAACACCCTGCCTGATATACCCACTGGGAAATGGGTATATCAATGCACAGTTTGTTTCTCTGCTGCCATGTAAAGTAATGCACTTGAGTTTCCAAATTCCTCCCGATTCTTGTTTGTCTGCCCCAGCACATAGCACAATAGCAGCAGGGCTATGAATAGCAGAAAGTATACACGTACAAATACAGAATTATATGTACCTATAAAGTCTCCTTTAGTCATTTTCTCATATAACTTAGCTTTTTCTTCCAATTTCTCCCTAGAAGACAATAAAGACAAGTATTAGAAACAGTCTAACTACTGGTACTCTTTGTAAGGCTGTCCCATCCCCTAATTGCTTCCATCTCCCAAGAGACCCATCCTGACAAAGGACCACAACAACAGGCCATGCCCTGCCAGAGAGGATCACAGCTCCACCACGCGAAGACACCTGTGGCCACCACATGGTGTATCAGTCAATATTGTAACAAGAAAGAAAGAGCAGCAAAGGGACTATGCGAGATGAAAGCTAGAGACAAAAACACAAGTAGGAGCCTTGGTGGTGTAGTGGTTAAGAGTTGGGCTATAGTCCTAAGGGTCAGCAGTTCAACACCATCAGCCACTCTTAGTCTTGGAAACTCACAAGGGCAGTTCTACTGTCCTATAGGGTTACTACGAGTAGGAAACGACTGGATGGCAGTGAGTGAGAGAGAGATATGTCAGCTACATGCAATTGTAATCAGTGACTGACCTCTAGATTAATTCTTTACAAGCTATAAAGGCATTAATGTGCTCAGACATTGGGGAAAATCGGAATATGGCTGTATAATACATAATACCATTTTATAAGTTATAGTTCATGGGTACAACAGCAGTAGTGTGGTTAAGTAGACGGTCTTTGTCCTTAAAATTATATTCTTTAATATTTAGAAGTAATGTACCACGATGCTTGCAACTTACTTTCAAATAGCTCTGAAACACGATCATGGAGCACGGGCTGGGGATTGGGGGACTTAGAGTGGGGGCTGGAGGAGAGTGGAGGCACAATGTACAAGACATTAACTCGCGAATTTAAATGAAGAGTACCAGAATGTTCTTTGTACACTTCTTTAATTATTCTATTGGTAAAAAATTTTTAAAAATAGGAAAAAAATTTGTTTTGAAATGCTGTCATACCACCCAGCCTGACTATCCCACACCTCTTAAACATTGGCTGACAATCTTACCACCTAACAAAGGTGAAAAGTGGGGTTCTTGCTCACCTTTCAAACTGAGGTTATAGCTGTCCTGCTCACAAAGCTACAGACTCATTTGCAAATTATAACAATGAGTATTTGGCTAGAAGAATGCTACAAATTAACTCAACCAAAAAAGGTAAAATTTGAAACTTTGATTTCAAAGTGGAATTGCTTGGATAGCCTCAGCAGGGTCATGCTCCGTGTATCAGAGCTTAGCTTTACCTCGCTTTGTCTAACGTCTTCTGTTCCTCCAGCTTCTGCTCAGCGTCCTTCTCAGCTCGATTTGAAACGCCCGCATTCTGTTTGCTCCAGATATTTGGTTTCTGGGGAATAATTTAGAAAGACGAGACAGAGCCACCACGTGATTGCAAACAACCTCTACTTGTACACCAGAATAAACGAAAACAAAGTAACAATACACCGTACGACTGCAGGGAGACAACAAGACTTTACACAACTGCCATGTTTTTTCTCCTGAATGATTACAATTTCAATTCTAATGAAAATGTATCTACTGCCGGAGACTAGTAATATAAATAGCAGATACTATGACCATTAAAATTTGAAAACCATTTGTAACTCTTAAAAAATGTAGTGCTTTCACCTACATATATATTCCTGTATCATTTCATAGTTTATCTGTTTGGACAGATAATACCTATGTCACCAGATAATACTCTCCTCATGAAACAGATATACATTTCTATAACAAGTGCTACAGAAGCAGAAAAATACATTTTCAAGTCAAACTTATTTCACTTTTAAAATTTAAACTAGCTCATGAAGATGTTCAAAATACAAAGCAGGGAATTTTCTGTAGTATATTTATGGAGTGGGCACTCTGGACACTTTCAGAACTCTTAAATGTGGTAAAATTGTCTCACAGCAACCATCCATGGAGATGATCAGATCTTATTTTTACCTTATTCGTTGATTTTGGTTTTCCTGAAACTCCAGAATCTTTTAGAAGTTTTTCTTGTTTGAATTCTTCTTGTTTTCGAAAGAGTTCAGCTTTAAGATCCACTAGCTAGAATAAAATCAATACAAAAACAAAAGCATTAACTTAACTGTAAAGAGTGATTGTCTACGTTATTGTAATGTCTTCATTATATCCTTTCCCCTTGCCCAACAGCAGTCTGGAGTGTGGACGGTGAAGGGGACACGCATTTGTAGCAGCTGGAATTGGAGACCACTTGGTTTGGCTTTGTACTGGATGGCACAGGTTTAAAAAAAAAAATTGTATCCATTTGGCCCAGTGGTGATGTGTAGGGCTGGAAAGTGAATGGTCAGCAGTTGGAACCCAGCAGCCACATAGTTAGTCTTGGAAACCCACAGGGGCAGTTCTCACGATGAGCTGGCTTTGACTTGATGGCAGTTGAGAGTTTTTATGACAGCACAGGGTTACGTAGGGGTATTCACTTAGCTGCTCCATGCCCTTGGCCTTCCTTCTCTCTCTTATTTTTGAAGACTAAGGAGCCCTGGTGGCATAGTGGGTCATGCATTGGGCTGCTAACCACAAGGTCAGCAATTCGAAACCACCAACCCCTCTGCAGGAGCAAAATAAAGCGTCCTATCCCCACAGTGAGTTACAGTCTCAGAAATCCACAGGAGCAGTCTACCCAGTCCTACAGGGTCTCAATGAATTTGAATCAACTCAATGGCAGTGAGTTTGAATTTCTTGTTTGGTTTTGAACCTTCAGCTATCTCAGCCACCACTTTTGCTTGGCAAAAGAAGATATAACAGTTTGTGGGGAATCCTTTTAAAAGGGTCCAAGTAAAACTGCATTTAAGCATGGGCATTTGTAAATCTGTTATTTAAAAGGACTATGCAGAGCTAACTGATTTTTAAGGCAATCAAAATGGCTCACTTCGATGACTTCTATTTTTGGTAAAAGTCCATTTGTAAGTAGCCTTAGCAGAGATTTTAAGAATGAAGGGAGTCGTTTCAATTCAGTACCTAGTATTCTAAAATATTTTTAAGTCAATGAAAAATCTTTGCCCTTTTATCTAAGACTTCTTACCCACCTCAATCGTCCACACAGTCTCTTAATCTAAAACTAGTTTGAAATTTTTAAAGATGCTCAGAAAGTTAGTTATACCCAGATGGCACTTCTATTACGATTAGTAGTAATTGTAACCGGTTAGGATGACTTTAATGTTTGTCCCTTTCTGATTCCTAATCCTCATGCAAACATAACCAGTACTAATTTTTATTGAACAAGTAGATGATTTCCATTATAGCCCGTTTGCATCCTAACACTGCAGTTGCTTTAAGTTCGTATCAAATAAACCTTTGATAAAATGTAATGGAAAAGGCAGTAACTTTTGAGTCAACCATCCTTAATGAACTCAGTTCACTATCACTAAACAAAAACAAAACAAAACTCACTGCCAATTCACTGCCATCAAGTCTACTCTGACTCAGCCACCCAACAGGACAGGTGAGAACTGCTCCAAATGGTCTCCTGGACTGGGACTCTACAGGAGCTGCCAGCAGCATCTCTCCCAAGAGAAGCTGGTGGATTTGCACCAACCTCCAGGGTAGCAGCCCGGGGCTTAACCCATGGCGCCACAGCCCCCTTGTATTGCCAAGGATTCGGCATATATGCAGACGAAGGCAACTTCATCTCCCTGAACCTCAACGTCTTCGTCTGTGCAGCGGGGATTTTACGAGCACCCACCACCGCGTGCGACAGTCCCATGTTGCGCTAGCTACCACGCCAGCAGTCGGACACCACCAGCTGCTCCACGGGAGAAAGACGAGGCTGTCTTTCCCCACGAAGACTTAGAGGCTCGGGAACCCACAGGGTAGGTCTACCTTGTCCTATAAGGTGTCGGCACAGACCCCACAGCGGTTTGTACAGAATGCTGGACCCAATCAAGATCTCTAGCGATCAAAGCACACTCTGAAGACCCGGTTTCCTGGCCTGGAGGGGAGTATGTCTACTAAACAAGAGGGGCAGGCTCAGGTTAGGGTCTTCCTTGACTGTGGGGGGAGGCAAGGCTGGCATGCTCCTGGCGGACAGGAGGCCTGGCCAGTTGTGGCCGGTTAGAGAAGCCGAACCCGGGTCCGTCTCCGCGGGGCGAATCCATCAAGTTCACGCTCGAGCCCGAGGTCGAGAAGCCTAAGCCCGGTCCGTCTCCGCGCGGCGAAGCCTCGGGCACGGCCTTGCCAGGCAGTTGGCGCAGGTGCCCAGTCTGAGCCAAGCCAGGGCCCCGCTCCCGTCCGTCTGCTCTCCGCGTTCTGACTAGTGCGAGAGGGAAGAGCCCGCAGCGCGCCCTCACCGAGGAGGCAGTGACTTCCAAAGGCTTTTTCCTCCGGTCCATGGTCCCGCTGGGGCGTCCCGGGCGAGGAGACGCTCCACGGCGCTCCGGGCCGGTCGTGGAGCGCGTAACCGGAAGTACCTGTTGACGTCGGCCTGGAACGTCATGCGTAGGCGACCTGTTGGCGCCATCTTGTGAGGGTCTTGGCGTGGCTCGTGATGTGTCCGGCGCCATTTTGGGAAGGTCGACTGCGGAAGGTCATCGAGAGGAGGGCGGAAGGGCGCCATTTTGAGAAGGGCAGCACTTGGCGTTCGGCTCCACGGACGCCATCTTGAGTGGAGCGGATCGGGCGGAGAGCGGGCGTGGCGCCATTTTGGGAAGGGCACGGAGAAGGTTGGCGTCCTCACCGTGCGAAGAGCGTTAGCAGGGTCGCTGCAAGGAGACGTGATTCGAAGATCCAGCAACTAGCCCCACTGGTGGCAATCCACAGCCACATATACACAAGAGAACTCAGGGCTCTGTGGGAGAAAGGTGGACCTCAGCGGCCAGAATACACACACCGTGGAAAGCCTTAAAGGCCAGGGCAGTTTATTCAGCCCTGTAAGGTCGGTGTGAGTTGGAATCCACTTGACTGTGGTAGTGAGGTGAGTAGTCCTCGTGAGTTGTAATCAAGTTGACAGTAGTGGTTTGGCTTAGGAGCTGAATCCCATTTAAGGAACCCCCATGTATGCCTGGACCTCTCTGACCCCTTCATATGCTAATGTATTTAACGTTCACAAAAGTCACGGGAGATACAGATGATTACAGAGTCGTAGTATAAAAGAGAGCAACAATTACTGAGTCAATGTAAACTTGTGCAGCCCCATAGGACTGTGTAGAACTTTGCCCCAGAGCTTCTGAGGCTGTATTACTATTTTTTTTAACAGAAGCACACTTCCTCATCTTTCTCCTGATGAGTTAAAAATGCTGACCTCTCCTTACCTGCATAATGCTTAACCTAATGCCACCGCGGCATCTTACAGTGCTCATAGGTAATACTAACACTACAGGGTACTTATTCCAATTCATAGGAACATAAACGCCAAAAATAGACTTCCCGGGTTGGAATCGCTGCCTCACAGTTACTGAGTGTGTGACCTTGTGCAAGTTACTTAACCTCTCTGTGCCTCAGTTTCCAAGTAGAAATAAAGCAGTGTTGTGAAATGGTGGTAAGCATTGGAGCAGCAGCATCAGAATCAGGTCCGACTTCAAGGGGAAAATGCAAGTCGGAAGCCAAGCCGCGAAGGCTGATCCCTCTGAGGTAGAGGTCAGACATACCTCTATGACCGATTCTGACAACAGACACATCCTTCCTATGGCATCTTCTACTTCTCTGCCGGGTTTGTGAATTGTGTGCCGGTGCCCACACAGAACTCAGATCATGTGAACAGCTGTGTGTTAGGATCAAGAAGCACAGTCCAGCTCTCTCAATATCACTTTTCCTTGCCTCCTCTTTCTACTTTTTCCTGCCTCAAAAAAATCTCTGTGGGGTCAGCTGCACATACACACAAGATAACCCCTGGCCACTGAGTTAATGCTGACTCATAGTGACCCTGTAGGACAGGGTAGAACTGCCCCTGTGAGTTTTTGAGACTGTATCTGGTAAAGGGAGTAGAAAGCCCCATTTTTCTCCCGAAGAGCTGCTGGTGGTTTTGAACTGCTGACTTTGCAGATGGCAGCTCAATGAGTAACCACTAAACCACCAGGGCTCCTACTCATGAATACACAACTCCTTGTAAGTGTCAAGGCATGACCCCTCAGAGGTGGCATAAAAATTGGCCAAACCACAGACAATTCATTTACACGGTATGCTGCAAATACTTCATTTACATAGTCTAGTGACCAGTCCCCACAAAGTGCATACCAATCACAGCAAAGGCTGCCCCCCAGAACCAGACAAAAAGTATCATCATAACTGGTTTACAGTTTACCCAGGAAATGTCACCCAACCTGAACAAAAGTAACAAACCCTGTGGGATAGAAAACCAGGGCAAAGAGAAACCTTCAGGGTTTGGGGGAAATGCTTCAAGCTGTTTTTTTGGAAGAGTCAAAGGCAAAGGATTACATAATGAGAAATAAGTTAATTTTTTAAATATTAAAGATGATGATGGTCAGGATAATTATAGCCCGCACAAAGATACCCGTGTTCTAATCATCAGAACCAGTGAATATGTTACCTTATATGGCAGATGGGAATTTGTAGAAGTTAATTTTGAGATGAGCAGATTATCTTGGTTCATCAGAGTAGCCTAATGAAAACAGTAGCGTCCTTATGAAAGAGTAGCAGAAGGATACACAATCCATAAGAGAAAAGATGCAACCTGCTGGCTTTGGAGAGGGAGGAGGCCCATGAACCAAAGAATGCAGGGCCCCTGAGCAGCTGAAAAGACAAGGAAAGGGATGCCCAAGGAGTACAGAATTGCTGACGGCTGATTTTTAACCTTGTGAGATTTACCTTCGTATTTCTGACGAAAATAATTGAAGAAGCTCAACACTATGAAGAAAAATACAGCATCAGGACTGGAGGAAGGATTGTTAACCTGCTATATGCAGATAACACAATTTTGTTTGCCGAAAGGGAGGAGGACTAGAAACATTTTCTGGTGAAGATCAAAGACAACATGTACAGATTATACGTAATGTAAACAAACAAAGCACAACCAATCAAAGAAAAAAAAAACTGCCATTGGGGCTGGCCCCACAGACCTCTCTATTGATTCCCTGCTTCATGCCGTTATGGTGCATTCACATCTTGGTGCACTGGGTTGCGGTCTGGTCCCTCTCTCCCTCTCCTGTGGAGATATAAACAACACCCTGCCCTTGGGTGGGTTAGTGCCCTGCTCCCCGCTACCCATGTCTTCTTTCTTTCTCCCCCCCCCTTTTCAGTTGGCTGCCATATATATCCCTGGATTGGGTCTGGCCCTTGCCATAGTACCTGGACCTCACTTTGGGAATGTATGTATACAGTAGCTTTTCCTCCATGCCTCTTTTGCATTTTTAAGCTTATGTCTGTGGACTCGTATTATACTTGTCCTTTTGTGCTTGGCTTACTTTGCTTAGCATAATTTCCTCCAGTTTTTCCCATGTGACGATGTGCTTCATGCATTCCTCACTGCATTTTAGGGGCAGCCTCAATCCCAACTACATGGACACACACCCTCCCCCAAGAAGAATTCACTTCAGAGGACAGCCCTGAAGCTACAGCTCAGGGAGAAGAGCGTGTCTGATCAGAGCACACAGGAGCTGCTAGAGGGAAGGAGAGAGAGTGGAACACATCCTGGCCCACCAAGCCCCAAGGACGATATTCCTGCTCAGAGCAGCCAATGCACAGGGAGGACCACAGGGCCAGCCCCACTACAAGACATGATGTCCCTCACTGATTATAGTGCTATAAGCAACAACGCTGGAGTCACAGTGTGGGAGTTGTGTGCAATCTGACCCCACCACACCAAGGCAAAACGCTAAGGGCTTGCAACAGAGCAGCAAGGGGAGTAAACCAATGAAGTCCCTGGAGGAATATAAAAAATAGACGATGGGGCCAGAGTGTGGCATCCCATCAGACATTCCTAAAGGTCAACAAGCACACTTGGAACTATTTATAGGCTTTTCTTTTTGTTGTTGTTGTGTTGTTTCTTTATTTTCTTTTGATCTGTCTTGTTTTTCTGCTTATTATTATCTCTGTATGTCTAACTAGATAAGATAGGTGGGATAAACAATACGGAGAAGAAAACAACGAGACCAATGGTTCAGGGGGACACAGCAGAGGGGGTGG